GTGTATTTCGATCCTCTTCTGCTTCAAGCTAGAGGTGTGTTTTTTTGGAAAGCATTTCGTGAAAATTTAGGCACTTTCTTTCGTGGAAGAGTTCGAAGACTCTTGTAAATAAATGCGCACAGAGTTTCCGTACACTCCCTCTAAAAACTGGAGTGGATACGTTCCTTGTTGGTTGCGCAATGTTGAACTTTCTACTCTGTGCTTGGTTCTTATTAGTGCCAGTGTTGATTTTCATAAGGTAAAACGGGGCCTACCCCGTTGGCTCCTCGAGAACATTCAACTATAGTCTTCCCTCTGCAGGCACGGGATAATTTCCCAGATTCTATACTTTTGACTAGCGAGTCACCAATTAGGCAGGCTTTTGTCGGTTTGTCGGCACTAACAGGAACCTGCTTTGATGAATTGAGAGCTGTAACTGTAGAGTTAGCAATGGAAGGTTGAGTGGATGATTCAGAGACAAGTGCAGTAGTAAACTGAGAAATGAACTTTTGCTTGTGTTGTAATCGATATTCTGCTAGTTGATCAGCTAAGGTCATAGGCGTTGATCGATCTGCATTGATCAGTCAGCGGCGAGTTTTCATCAGGTTTGGCGTCTGATGCTTTAGGCGATATTTCACCGTCGGAAACCTCAAGCGCCTTGAATTTATTTTGAATATCTATGGGTCTTCTATTTTTACCGACACTTGTCCACCCCTGGGAATCAGACAAGATATGCGATTGTTTCTGGAAGTGAGAAGTTATGTCATTTCGAAGATTAATTACTTCATTGGCTATTTCGTTGGTAGCGACCAATAATGCAGCATGAGAATCTTTCAGATCATTTGTCTCCGGTAACCTTTGTGATTGGGTGTGGAGGTGAGAGGTTACGTCATTTCGTAGCGCGGTCAATTCATTTGTTATTTCATTGTTTGCCGCCAGTAAAGCTGCATGAGAAGCTTTCAGATCACCCCTCAATTAGTTCGTTAGATACTTTTTTTAACAACAACGACAACAGTCGGGAAAAGGGATCAAGCAAGGTTTCCATTTGTTCTCTCTTAATTTCCATGTGCAACTGGTCAAGGAGTTTTCGGCCTTTCCACCTCGTCCTTTGAGTACGCAAAAGAGCACAGGACGCTAAGGCAAAACGCAATCGGCATAAACGCCTTTTTATGTGATTCTGATCAAATAACAACAAACAAAACATCAGAAGGAACAAATTTTGAGCAAATCACAACCTTCAGAATAGACACTCAGTTATCGGCAAGCAGATAACTAACTTGTCTGTGGGTTGTGCTCATTTCCAACGAGAACATCGGTCGTAGAGTAAGTACAATCACCACAATCACCACAATGTATTATACAAATGTTAGTTTATGCTACATATTTACTCTCACCCTGGCCACCTCAGTATTTGGCTAAGCTAGATGGGGCCGGTGACGTGAAATTTGTTGAGGCTGACAATTGCTTTGAAATATTCTCTCGGAATTTGCAGTCAAATTTCTTCCTTCAAAACCATCCTCTCTGCAGGACCTTTATCTCTAAAGCAAGCAAAATCGTTTGCTCGCTCTGGCCACATTTTATCACGTTTTATCTTAATTATTCACACTTTATTTTTTGTCGTTATTTTCTCAGTAAAACCATCGTTCAATAATTCATGGCTAATGGGAGAATATCTTCGTAAAACCCTTCGCCCTAACCCAAGCTAAATCTGGCTATCTCAAGATTTTTTTCTCCTTTTTCTTGTTCATTCGTAGATGGTGACCTCCTCACTTTTTATACTTTTGTTGCTGCAAATGAGAATCGAAAAGGTAATAATGTATTTAAGAGTATTGTATTGTGATTTTGTGCTGGGTTCCATTTTTCCTTTTCCAAACAATCTTACTTTCGTGAGTCAGTGTTGTAGTGTTGGACAAGTGCCCAATTGGCACACATTGGGTCAGCTATAGGAAAATAAAGACACCCTTAATTTTATGGTAAATAAATGCGAACCACATTACATGCATATGTGGACAAGAAATTGAACTGATAACCCTTTGTACATTATACATGCACCCTTTCAAGACATATAAAAGACTAAACGATCACTTAACTTTGTTGGAATGCAAGAAATAGCCTTCTATTTTTATTTGCATCACTCTAATTCGTCGATTAATACACTATATTATTTTACGTGTTTATAGACTGAATCAGTTACGATGGAAAATGTGAAAGCGATATGGAATCGATACAAAATGGTCACTCAAGGAGATGTAAGGGAAAGAAATTTTCGTAAGCATTAACAGTGAGATTGTGTTCTGTTTGTCACTTGATTTTTCACCGTATTATAGGACGAAAATGATGAAAAAGAAAAGCACAATGAACCTCTTCCAAGGGGCAAATCGGGGAAGGCTTTTTGAGTGGGGAAGGGGTCCTCTTAAAAAATTAACCCTAACCCCTTAACGAAAGCCTTCTTAGTCATACGCCCCCTCATCCCTAGCTGCATCCCTCCAAAAAAAAGTAAACGAATTAATGAATACTAGTATGTAATTATAAATGTTTGAATGATGGAATCTTCAGATAAAGAGAAAAAAACTAAAAATCAAAATTCATTCAGACATGACTCAATACGTTTCTAACCCCTCCGCCTATCTGTGCGTAATTCCGTTTCTGTAGGGCCGCAAGCTGTATCTCCTTTTTCATAAAATCGAGAAAACAGAAAAAAACGCTCATGATAGATCCATAAAGAACTAAAATTTTGATGCATGAAGTTAGCTAGCGATGCTTTATTTGACTTTTTTCAAGAGCACTTACTATGGAAAATACCCTGGCGGCGGAGCATGCGCCTTAGACCCGCCATCACCGCTGAACAGTCAGCCCGGATGGATCATGGTGGCAGCTGGAAAATATGACTACCAGAAGTCCGTTGGGTGCGGCATGTGCATCGAAATCACAGCCAAAGGAGAGCAAACGAGCCCTGAAACTGGTGGGCCCACGCCTATGAAAGGCACCTACAAGGCTTATATTGTAGATCTATGTGGAGGCTGTAATCAAGGTTTGTTTTTCTCCTGTATGAAGCAATATCTTAAGGAGCAATCATTACATTGACCAAAAAAGTTTACTGATTCTGAATGTTTTTCATTCATCCTTTGTTGTTTCTGGCGAAGAGGAGTAGGCGAGCGTGTGATTATCCTGATTAAATTCAGAAGTTAGCATCGATGGCTTAAAATAATGGTTTTATTGTCCAAAAACTGTTAAGTCAATCTACGAAAAAAGAAACTCTTGAGGGCGTGTCTTTCGAAACTACTTGTATTAAGGAGGCTATGATTCTTCATTCGCCTTATGATAAACTGGCTTTTTCTCCAGCTGGCTTTGATCTCTACATTAGTGGTTATGGCAAATACAAGACCTCCTTTAAAGCAGTTTCATGCCCTAGTGTACCTGGTCAACAAGGGAATATTCAATTCCGTTTCACCGGTAGCAACCCTTGGTCCATTAAACTACAGGCTCGAAATTCCAAGTAAGTCACAATGATGTTGTAAGAGGGGAACCACACCCACAGTAACTAATCTTTCCGTAAGTGCTTTTTAAGTTAAACACAAAACAGGGGCTTAGTTAGTGGTTCCTGGCTTGCCCGTGCTCCACCTCCCTTTGTGAGATAATTGTTTTAAATGTCCCTATATTTCAGGTGGCGAAAACGCCCGTACTAAAAGACAAATTGACTGATAAGCAGTGACACTAAAATAGAGTAATTTACGTTACGTGGATCTTAACTCAGCATTGCAACTATTTTGTAGACTTGTCAGTTGCCCACGCTCACTGCTCATCCGAAAAAATCTCACTTTTAGTAAAACACGGTATGGATGTCGACATGTCAATCTGGTAAAGTACCCTGGGTTTGACACAGTGTGATCCCCGGCCCCTTTTGAAAACTCCTAGCCACGCCCCTGCAAAAATCTAAGGGAGAAAAAAAGTAATGCACTCAAAATAACCATATACAAAATCTAAGTTAATACCAAGAGCCCCGCTAGTTCCATATTTTCGAGCAGATAGTCGCTTCAGTGTTGAACATCTTGCAAGAAAACAGCTTCGGCGAAAAGGTTCCTCTTATGATATAATTTCATGTTTTAATTTGTCTTGCTCCAATGGACTCAACTGTTTCCTTTCTCAAAAGGGTGGTGACGGTGGGCATGGAGATCGAGCACAACAACAAATGGGTTTGTACGGGGAAGACGGATGACAATTACTTTTCCATTAACGGACTGGGAGAGATTAAGTTCCCAAAAAGATTTCGATTAACAAGCATCAGTGGAGAGCAACTAGTAAGTGCAGTGCCTGGCATTGCCAACAATGAGAACATCGCCACAGGCATTCAATACTCCGATTTCAATCCAGGTGAGAAATCTAACTATTATAATCAGTAAATATCGGCAAATGGGTGAATAGACCAAATCCAGCACAGCCTGAGAAAACAGCCGCCACTGGTTTACTCGCGCCACGACGTCTGAGGAACGACTTCAGAAATTCCATACTGATGTCGTGTCATGGCCAGATATTGGTGGTCCTTCTGATTGCTCGTAATGCAGGAGAAATTTGCTTTGTAACCAATCAGAAGCACTAACCAGACCTAGTGTGGAATTTCTGCCCTCGTCCCAAAAACGTCATTTCGCGGGGAAACCAGTGGTGACGTTGCACAATATAAGCCGTTTTCTCAGGGTAAAAATCCCATTGCCAAGTATTATTTTTACTTAGTTCATTCTTTCGTAGCCGTAGATGATATTCTAGATAAGCTTAGACACCCAAGCATAGCTCTACGTAGACTTACACCGGCGGCTATGCACAACCTCGTCCCTAGGGCTAGCCCTACGGACGAGGTTGGGCCATACATAACTATGATACCCAGTCTTTACTTACTCTGGTTTCAAGGGAGCTATATATATCGATTTGAAGTTACTCTAACTTAAAGTAGAGAATTCCAAGTGCAAAAAAAAAAACTATATAGACTGATAGATGGAAAAGAAGAATATCAGGTGAGTTCGTCAGCCTTCCTCAAAGTCAGGATTATTTTTTAAGATGATGTGTTTTGCTATCCTAAGGCTACAACATAATCAGGCGAGAAAAAGCGAAAATAAGCTACGAAAACATGCATGTCGACCCCTAATACGTAAATTTAGCCTAGCCTAACTGCGGAGCTCATGGCCCTGTTAAATTCTAATCATTTAGTGTTTAAATTTTTTTAGTCATTACCATATTTGGAGAGCAGGCGCAGCAACAACAGATTGCAGCCTTTAGGTTACCGTAAGACTATCACCAGAGAATAAAAGCCTCTGACATAGCTTAAGACCGGGAACCAAATGAAAAAGTTTTCAACTGTTCGATAAGCGGATAACTTGAGAAATTACGTAAACTTGATGAGTAGGGTCATGTGATATAGGTAAGCGGATACATCTTTTGACCACGGTCAATTGATATGAATATAGATTAAGAATTATTTAAACTACTCTTACTACAAAAAGAACAATAGCATCTTATTCTCATTCTAATTAACATTGCTTCCTTATGTCTCTGGGCAGATGAATGATCAACGGCTCCCAGCTCCTCATTATCACTAACAATTTTTCCTCGAGCCCGAATGGCCTGAGTCAATAGTCCATGACGCCGAAGGCCGAATGGGCTATTGGCTCAGACGCCATGAGGGCGAGAGGAATAATTGTTTTGGTAAAATTCAACTAGTTGGTCAAAAACATCGAGACAAAACACCTTTAGCCACAGTTAAAGCTAGACTTTAATCATTTTTTGCCGCCAAAAAGCCGGCGCTTTTCGCTGCTAGTGGGCTATAACATATAGCCTAGTAGTAGCTCAACCAATCAAAACGCTGCGTTCGTAATAAACCACTAGCTGGATTTTACTAATATCTAGTTTGCCGCAATAGTGGGAACTATTTTTCATATATTATTGTTTTTTTTTCTTTTGTCTTTTATGGCAGTTTTTTGTTGAATTTGCACCTGCGGTTGGAAAGTGATTGAACATTTCTTCTCTCGTTTGCAGACAGTAATCCTGAAAACATTAAATGCTTTGGACAAGCAGGGAAAACGGAACAACGTGAGTACCTTGTACAAATCATGTTTGTTAGAATCAATAAGATTAGGCCATGAGGGTAATTTGTCTTGGAATAACCTACATCCTTTTAATCCCTTAAACCCTAATAGCAAAATTCAAATTTTCATTTGTTTTCTCTATATGTTTTCAATAGAAGCAGTGGGCAGAATTTATTGAAGTATCAATTAGATTCATCTTGTGTGATCAGGCCCTCGATTCTCATGTTCATGTTTTATAAAGCAGTGATATTACAACAAGAAATTTGGCGCGGATCACTCTTAGGGCTGAAAGGGTTAATCTTCTCATTTTAGTTTATTCACTACTAACACTAGTTTACCGTCATTTACTGCCGCGAAATGTACCTTTTTTTTGTTTACCTTAACATTTGTCACAGCAACTGGTCCCAATACTGGCCCAAGTCCCACGGCAGGAACTAATCCCGAGCCATCATCAGTTGGTACCGTAAAGCCATCTGGCAGTCCAGCTCCACCCAGTCCAGCTCCACCCAGTCCAGCTCCACCCAGTCCAGCTCCACCCAGTCCAGCCCCGTCTACCCTTCCTCCTTCCCAACCGGCGGGAGGTAGGTTTGTTCCATTCTAAATTCAAAAGGACCCCTTGCTCTACTTGATTAATTTTTAAAAGGAAAATTGTCTTGAGAATGTAGAGCCGATTAAAGAAATATATACGGGTACATATATAATCGGCTCATGCAGCACCGCATTCACCTTATATAGGGAAACTAACAGTAACACAGACTAAAAAGGTCGGTCTAGTCTTTTTCGTGGCTTGCTTGCTGTTAAGACATCAGTCAATACTGACTTTCATTTAGGTGTACGTGCAAGTCAATACATATTTTACAATAACTGAGCGAATCCTCGCGCGCTGATTGGTCGAAGGCTATGGTCTATGAGAGTAGAGACCATGGAAATGTCGTAACATGTCACGCAGTACCGGTGATTTTGGTTTTTCGTAAAAACAATTTTACCCCTCAACATGGACAAAGAACCAAATATTAACATATGGAAAGAAATTTCTGTGAATGAGTTAGTGCTTGACGCTTCAAAGGTAGAGCAAAAATACGAAAAACAACAAGAAAAAGTCGTCAAAACTTAGCAGTGAAACCACTCGCCTGCGGCTCGTGGTTCCACTTGAGTTTTTGAACATTTTATGACGTCATTTCTATGGTCTATAAGAGTGTACAACATGAAAAATTGTGGTCGATTTGTTAAATATATTGTTTCGGAATATTTCATTTCAGAGGACAAGAACTTTTGCAAAGGGAAAGCCACAGGGCTTTACGCTGATCCAAAGGACTGTGGAAGCTTCTACCAATGTGCAAACGGGATAACATACTGGAAGCATTGTCCTAAAGGACTTCACTTTAACCCTAAAATCCAAGTCTGTGATTACCCACAAAGTGCAAATTGCAAAATTGAGGTAGTGTAAGACAAAGCCGACCTGAAAAAAATAATAAATTAAAGTAATATCTGTATGTATCAACTTATGATTGACGACCTGTCTAAAAACAATAATACGTTTAGTGGGGAAAAAAATTATTTTTGGCCCTGTCATTTCCCAAAATTTAAGCTGTCAACAGAGAAATAATGATCAAGACCTCTTTATAAAAGATATTGCAGTTGTGATCTACCTAGGGTCTGCAGAGGTTAAGCCTGCCTAAGGGAAGGTAAAGTGACACTTGGGGCGAGAAAGAACATTCTTTCTCTCCTCTTTGCCCTCCCCTTTAATTGCCTGCCATAAAGGTTTAGTTAGAGGGAAATGAGATTCAATAAAGAGAGAAAACGTATTTTTTGTGACATTGATTCGTGGTGCAGGGAAGGAAACGTTTTGGGCACATTGCTTAATGTGTCAGACTGAAAACGGGTTTAATATTGTACATAAGTAACAGCATGATTTGTATGTGATAATTCAAGCACAAAACCCTTGTGATATCCATAAATTGTCGATTAGTTTACTCCCGCAAAATGCCAAATTGGGACAGGCATAACAAATTACGATGTTTCTGGGTTAACCGCCTTTCAAATTATTAACAAAAGCTATGGTATCGGAAATACCAGAAATAATAATAATGTTAATTAATATAAAGTGTTATTATGAACTTTCCCTATCTAAGTTATGAGTGCTGATGAACTAGCTAGATAAATATTTCATTTAGATAAAACACTGATACAAGATAAATTTCTATTGGGTGGATTGATATATAGTTGCTTATTTTTGTAATTTTTTAAATCAATCGGTTATAAAAATTAAAGCTCGTTTCTTGATACTTTCTTGCACGGTTAGTGAAGTTGTACACAAAATACATAGAAATAAAAACATAGCAATTGAGTCGAAGCTCCTGTAAGGGACCATCCCAAATACGAAGATTTTTGGTGGACGCCTCTAATGGGAGGTGGTCGCTTTCTCAGCAAGATATCGAACCACAAGGGGCCTTTACCTACTACTACTACCTAGTCACCTACACCAATCTCAATCTATTGTTTTAATTTTATATTATCAAAACCTTATTTGTGACGAACTTTCAGTTTTATCTTCATTTTTCTTTTAGCCCGTGATGATGGTTTGCCTTTCAAACCGAAATATTGGGCAAGTTTGTAATCAGAACACATGTACATTTTCGGAGGAGTAATGAATGCAATTTAATTACCATACGTGTTGTTTCATGTTCTCACTAATGGTGCGTTTCTTTACTATAATCCAAATCTTGATTTTTAATCCAAAAACGGATTATATATCCAAATGATCCACAACGGAGGTGGATTCTTTGGATCATATCCAAAACCGGATACTACGGATCTGAAAAGAGGGAATACAGCCAGCGTTAACTCGAAACAATTTTAATACATACAGCCGCTGTTTGACAACACTGTTCATCTTTACCGCCATTTTTGAATTCGAGGCATGGATTAAACGATCATTTTTATCCGTTTTATCAGATAGTAAAATCGAAATCCAATCTAGTTCACAGCGACTCCAAATCGAGACAAAACTGCTACACAACTTCGCCAGCTTTCGCCGCTGCGTCATGCAAGTTACTTTTTCAGTAGATATCTTGTTAGATTCATCTTCATGCAGTATCCTTGAACTAACCGTCCACAATAAAATGAAAGATCAGCAAATTTGCAACATCATCAGCAGTCTAGTTATTCTTTCTCCAGGATACCGTTGATATTGTGGGTCGTTTCTATGGAAATGAATTAAAAATAATCCTTTTTTGGATTCATCGTTTCTTAATTCTTAACGAAAAATCATAATGATCCGGATTTTTGATCCGATCTCGAATTTTAGTAAAGAAAAACACCCTAAAAGTTCTTAATATACTCTGAGTAGTGCAGCGGCATAAAGAGAACATAGAGATCAAATCCATTTGCTTTAAAGGGACAGATTCACGGTTCAGCGCATGCTCTTTAATCAAAATGCTGTTTTTTTTTTGCCGGGACATGCTGTATCGTCTATGAAAGCAATATGATCATGTCATAATCCCACTTGATCAACTTAGGTGCAATTAGCTGTAAATTAATCAGCCATGGAATAAAACCTTGGGGTCAACAATTAATTCAATGTTGGTAGTGTTGGCATAATCCACTATTTTTACTGCGATTTTAGTACTCCTCCATCCCACTTCAGATTACTCTGAAATACACTTCTGCTTTGAAATACACTCCGAGATCGCTGAGATACATGTGAGTGGGATTATTAGCCGATAGAATGAATAATAAATTGGAAAAAGTAATTTAACTAATGAGCATGCACTGAGCCGTGAATCTGTCCCTTTAAGTGGTCACTTACAAGAGGGTAAAAACAATGGAAAATTCTAAAACCTTCAGGCCAAAAACAGGGTCGCGGTCGTTTAAGAGGGGTAGTCGTTTCAAGAGGTTCCCGACTGTAGTGGTTTGACTAAAAAATTTTGGCGCTTCGGATAGGTAGTGGCAGACCTCAAAAATCAGTAGATACAGAGACAATGGTTACTGTATCCATTTCACCTTGTCTAAACAAACCTCTAAAATCGACCAAAAATTTTAACCAGGAAAGAAACGAGTAAATAAATCACTACCGCACAATATCAAGCATCATTTTTCAGCCAAGAGCGATATCAAACCCTGGTAATCACGAGAAGACAACTTATCTTTTTTATCATACGCGACAAGAGCAACGTGCCTAAAGTCATGCCCGTAAAGGAAAGGCTAGGAAACAACTAAAACTAGGCTACAATAAAAACTGAAATTTGAAACAGTTTCAATAGTGTAAGATGCAATTAACATGCATGAATCCTTACAAAATACTTGAACCAGATTTCAACCAATTTATGATACAATACCCATGTTACAATGTAAACTGTAAGTGGCAATGATTTGTGGTCAAATATAACCATGCGATGTCATTAGCACCAACTTGGGTCCGAGAGATGGCTGTACTGGAGGGCATCTTTTTTTATTCGGCACAAAAGTGGTTTCAAAGAGTAAAAGGGATCTTAAAGTAAGGCAAAACCAACATGTCAATTCACACACCTAGCAGATCACCTTCGCATGCATTGTGGTGGTATAAAGTAAGCATGCTCAAGTACCTACTGAACTGAAATGCAGTTCCTATACAAGGCCTAGGGCTCTTGATTGACTTCCTCATGATGTTGGCTCTGAAGGTATAAGCTTTAAAGACACTCAGTGAGTTTGAGTTGGAACTCAATAGAGCGGGGAATATATATAACCCGTACATAAGCAGATATGGCTTCTACTCTGTGGTTTACATTGATTCTCGTGTTTACAGCAGTCGGGCTGGAAGGTAAGGTGCAAAGTGTATGTTGATAAATCGTTAGCAATACATTGTTTTTATTTAGCCTGCGAGCAACCACTCTGGGGCGCTCTGGGTCCCAAGACCCCAGAGACCGCTAGCAAGCTCCGAAGGGGATATCAATGGTAAGCAAAAGCGCTCTTCTTTGAGTTCACTTCACTCTGTATAGATCAAATGCGGTCCCGATTTCCAACCTACATAATATCTTATGACGTCTTCAGTAATTCTCAGTACTCTCAACTTCGGAAATATTTCTAGCTTATTCGTTCCTTCTCTCTGCAGAAATGCATAATTACAATATACTAGCTTTACAGGAACTGATCAAATATTCTAGGAAAAAAAAAATTGAACTATTTGTTTTCTAGTTTCGGCCCAAGAATGTAAAACAACATTCCTCAAATTCGAGTCCTCCCTAAAAGAAAATTTAAGTCTTGATTACATCAGCCTCTTTTACGTATCTTAAAGTCGCAGGATAATTACATAAATTATGAGAGTCCAAAAAAATATAAATTTTGTTCGTTGTTTTGTGATGACTACATTTGTATCTTCTCACACCGTTTATAGTTCAGTTTTTATTCTTTTCTATTTCTTAATCTTTCCTTTTTCGTCCTAAGTGAATGTATTCTTGATGTTTTTCTTTGAATAAATATATTGATAATTTAATAAACTGGCTCTGATATTGAAACACCTCCCGATCTTCCCTGGCAAACTATCGCAGATCTATATCCAAAAATCCAAATTTATACCAGAATCCATCGTCATACCACTGATACTTCAGTATACGAAGAAATAAAATTTTATGTTGTCGGTTGAGGAGGTATGATTGTTTCTTTTAGTGCTGATTATCTCAAGTGAGCTGAAGGAGCTCCGACCTTAGACTTGCCTAATGAATGAATGAATTACTTCATCACATCATTTAAGCTACACAATTATTGAGCAGAGAAAAGTTAAAGTTTGCAGGACGAATCGAAAATACCTTTTTAGACAACCAATAGAATTTGTATAGGTAATAGCATGATTTGTAGTGATATTTAGCATAAATACCACTAGTGATATTTCGAAATTGTTATACGTAATTTCACGAGCCGTTAGGCGAGTGAAATCTGAGACTATTTTGAAATATCACGAGAGGTATTTATGCCAAATATTACGTACAAATCATGCTATTATTTGTTTATACTACTACCCGCAAAGGTTTGTAATTTTCACATGTAGGTATTTCAAATTAAGGTGAAATACCACTGCTCTAAGCCAATCAAATTGCAGAAATTTTTCATGTAGTATTATAATAACTGTAAAACAGCTTTAGGCTGTAGCTCATATTCTAAAACGTTTCATTCAATAGCGTCATTTGTTTTGTTCCTAATCTTCCACTTTCTATAAATTTTATCAGCTGTTTTTAGCACAGGTCCATTTCCGGCTGCAGGAATTTACCTGCCATCACCAACTGGCACCTCACATCCACGGAGCAGTGAAGCCCTACCTATAACCTCTTCTCCCTCAAAGCCTGAAGGAGGTATGTTAGTTACTTTAAATCCTATCGAATTCAAGTAAAAATAATAGTTTCTCTCCTGCGGATGGGAACTAAACTATTTTTTCATGCGAAATCTGAGTACAAAATGGTATCGTTTTGTGAACCA